CTACAGCAGTTGGTCGTGTTAGGGTCTCAACTTCAAGCGAACTAAGACGAATCATTATCTTACCTACCACGTGCGAGACGTATGAGGGAACGGCGCATTGACTTGCTGTCTCCTCGACTTTGAGTAGCTGGGACCCTTTTATCGGTTGCATCCGAACAAGTGTAAACTGGGGCACTTCGCTTGGGTATCATAACTAGAATCAAAACAGATCGACGGTCAATATAGCTCTATCAAGACATCATGGCATTAGCCGATGAGGTAGCAACGCTGCAGTGGAGCGGACTCGCCCGTGCAGGCCGGTGCCAACGGCAGGAAATGCTGTCATGTGTCATGTACAAAGTAGCGCTCAGGATCAGTGACCGACTCGGTAGTTTCCGTCCACGAGGTAGTTGTTAGGTGGTTGAGACGAAACAGCACCACAAATCTCCAACCAACCTGGTTCCGCAAGCACCTGGACAGAGCTTGTTGGTTGGGGTAGCTCCTCCAACAACATTAGGATCCAAACGTCAAATGATTCAGCGCGGAAGCTGCGAGGCTGTTCTCTCGAAACAATCTATCTGAGGGACCTGTTTCACATTAGCTTGTCTAGCTGCTCGGATTAGGGCCAGTTCTGTCATCGGCAGCAGATCGTGGTCACCAGGAGCTCCGGCTTGAAGGCGATCGATTCCACTTTATTCTGTAATTATCATGCTGCCTACAATTATGTGCGCAACCGATTAGTCAAGAATAATGACAAAAGGAGAGATAACTGACTAAATGGTGAGTTAGTTGGCGAGGGGAAATTTTCGCCCACGTACTTCATAATCAAACCCTCCCCACAGCAATCACCGACGTGATGCCGAACGGGCGGTCCAAGTTCTATGGCTCCAATCAGTAACCAGAAGAGAGAGCCCTGGCCCCATAGTCTCAGATAGACATTGCTGCCACGTGGGATTGGAACCAGAAGGGTCAAGTTTCATCAATTGTCTATAAATCTGTGACATCAGTTGCAAGGACAGTTTGTGCATATCCATGAAATATTGGCCAGTAGATAGGCAGGTCGAGCTGCGAGATTGTTGAGGGTTGACGGCCTGACAGGGTAGCACTGCACCTGCTGCTGCGGCTCGTTTCTATTTTTGAGGAGCCGTAAGCGCGGCAGTCTTCGGTCAGCCGTAGACAGTAGTGGTTGACCGATAGGATCCTGGCAATCAACGACGCAATGCAATGCACATCATTGAATAACAAGACCCCATGATTGACCTTAGGTTTGGCATTCAAGCGAACATCATTGCGTACACCCACCATGGTCGTTGGAAATTTGAGACCATAGTTAGCTGGGACCAATTCAATCACGTCAAGCGGGCGTTGATCGTCCACGGTCGCGAGTGTTTGATAGGCGGGCGGCGTGTGACGGAGGATGTCGCACACGTGACTGCGAGCCCCATCCGGAGGCGGACTAGTGGCTTAGCATTGGATTGGCGTGTTTCAAGCCGGGCTGAACCCCTCCACCGCCGTCCCCATTGGTTTGACTTAGCGCGCGCCCTCTTTTGCCTGCGTGTTTCAGCTGCAGTGGCCGATGGCGAGGCTTGCAGGTCCGGAACTGTGGTAATGATCCTATCCTTGGGTGTGTCCGAGATGGTTGATACAGGGACTGCGGTTGTCGAGCGCGCCGGTTGAAACAGTGAGATGATACATCCTGCTGAAGGAAGCACAACAAAATCATCCCGTTCAAGAAAAGAAAAAGCAGAATCCGACCTCTCTTTTCGTTGCGGCGGAGTACTAAGCACCAACCGTGCCGCGGTTTCTCCTCGTCCCACACTGCCAATAACGGACGGTCCACCGTTTCCAGGGGCTTGTCTGGGAAGGTGGATCGCTTCAGCTTAGCCCCAGTCAAGTCAGCCTTTGCGTTTCACCTTAGCCTGTGACCCTCCGCGCCGTTACCTGTTTCTCATAGGCTCGATGCCAGAGAGAGGTCCCTGCTGAATCGCCATCCGCATCTAGTAAAAAAGCGATTCTACCCCTCAAAGTTGTGTGTTCTCTTAAGTTCTGATCTCTTGCAGTCTGCTTTCTCGTCCGGTTTGTTTTGGAGGGGGTTGCCCGTGCTTTTTTCCTGCTTCTTTTCGTTGTTGTCTTCTCTCTCAAGCCGGCTTGACCACAAAGAACCCTTTGATTAAGCATCCAGCAAACGACCTTTCTGCGCGAACCGTGCACTCCCCCAGCGGGTCGGACAACCTCCCCAAATACGGTATTATTGTTGTGTGTGTGTGCAGAAGGTTGCTTGGATACGTATCCTGCCGGGTCTGTCTGATTATTACTACCCTCGTGGGTTAAACAGACAGTATTTTCTTCTGTGTGACTTCTGGAAGTCTTCTTAACCATTTCTTTTCTTCTGATCTTCTTCTACCCTGACCGATTGTCCACACTCCTTATCGCTGTACGCCCGGAGCTACCGTCGCTACGAGCTCTACAATTGTTTGCCCGGTGTACGGATTGAAATTCTTCCTGGAGTCACTACTCTTACCGGCATATTTGATCTCAAGCCTCACTCCGGTTTTTGTTGAGGCTGAACGGACCATCTCCTTCAAACAAGAGGAAGAGCTCTACAGGTATGTATACAGCTTTTTATTTTATTCAATTATTATTGTGATTTTTATTATCGTCCATGTTCCGGTTACGTTGCTGCTTTCCTCTTCTTCTTGGGTTTATGTCATCTCTGGGTCCTTTCACACTGGTCCCCCCATCGCACTTCACTGCCTCTGTTGGTTTGTTCCTGGACCAACTATCGTTTGCGGCCTTCCCAGTGGCACCCTGTTGTGGAGACCATTTTACCTTTTCTTTTTTTTTTTCCCTTTACCTTCCTTTTCCAGTCAATCGAATGCTTTTCTCCTGCATCTGGACTTCTCCGATGAGGACCTCAAAGTGGAAATGGGGAGACCTCGACAGAGTCGGCCAGATCTCAGATATGGGAAATGGGATTGAAAGGGATTGAAAGATTGATCGAGAGTGTGAGTGCGAGCGTGAGTGAGTGAGAGAGCAAGAGAGAGCACAGAGAGCACAGAGAGACCCCAAAAGAAAATGCCCCGTCACGATTGCAACTCATGATGCTGGAGAGGAACCCCCAGTTGATTTTCATGACTGTTCTCCACCCCCCTTGTCGCCGTATCGGAACCTTACCCACTCGGCCATCACTTCCCAGTTTTTCCCATCCAATTCCTTCCGTTCCCTTCATCCCCCGGGCGATGGGGCCAACCTGAGTGGTTACTTGCCACGACCAGGCTGGAGGGGTGGAAAGGGAAGGAAGAGGAGGAGGATGCTGGGATGGGGTGGCTCTGACATGCCGGTGTTGGGGTGAATCTGGCATCTGATTTGCGTGCTTTTGGCGCCCATGATGCACATTCCAGTCTTTGCACACCAACCCGGGCGGCTAAATTTAGAGCTGCAGGCGCTGGATGTTCTGCTTCGACCGGGCGTTGATTGGGTGTCACCAACTGGCTGAGTGGGGCTGTTGGATATCCACTTTCACAGCGTAAAAGCTGGTGATTGGCTGGCTGACAGCAACACGGCCGGCCGGACCCAATCAGGACATCCGCCCTTTCCCTTTCCCGTCCCAAAACGAACTGCTACCATTTTACTTTTTTCTTTTCTGTTGCAAGTCTGGCAAGTCTGGCAAGTCACGGCGTCTTTTCCCATACCGTGCGGTGGTTTATTCTTAGCGCTCGGGTGGGTTCGGTTGCTTATTATTTGCTGCCGTTGCTGTGACTGCCGCCACTTAAAAAGAACTTACTGCTTGTGCTGCTGCTGTTGCGGTTACTGTTGTTTGCTGCTGTGGTGCCTGCCATCGGGAAGACAGACAGACTGGCTCTAGTCTAGTAGTACTTCGTGCTCTGTCACTCACTCTCTCTCTCACTCTGTCTCGCGCGCTCACTCTCTTACTACGCGCTCGCTACTCTCCCTCTCACTCTCTTACTACTCTACTCTCTCTTTCGCTCATTTCCCTTCCTTTCTGGCTGGCTCGACTCACCCTCGATCTTCCTCTTTTCCCTTTCCCCTCTTCTACCTTTTCCCCCTCTCCTCTTCTTACCTTCCTTTTCCTTCCTTTTTTTTCTTTTTCACCAAAAAGAACTAAACCCCCTCTCCCTTCCCCCCCTCCTCATCACAGGGACTTACTTCTTTATCCACAAGTCTGCTTTTCTTTTCTTTTGGGTGGGTGGGCAGTCGTTCTTTGCTCCCTTCCCTCTCCTCTTCTTCTCTGTGACCGAGACCCTCCCACAACTGCTGCTTCTTTCGTCATTCCCCGGAGGAACGACTGCCCACACAATCACCGGGCGGCTATTCCTCCCAGTTGCATTGTGCCCTCCATCACTTTCCAGAAAACCTCCACCCCCCTTGGTTCTCTGCTTATTCTTTTCTTTCTATTTTCTTTTCTGGTTCTTGTCAATCCCTCCTTCATCTTAATTGTCTATTTTCGATTTCGACTTTCTATCCATGTCGCCGTTGTTGCTTCCCGTTGACGTTTATCAATAACAATCCTTTACGCCTATCACTGACAACATCCTCCAAATAAAGAGGCAACAGTTCTCTTGCGGCATTCCTTGGTATGTTCCCAGTCTCGGACCTTGTTGGGACCCCTCTGTGAATGGCTTTCGTCCCATCCTTCTATCCATCATCATCTGCTGCTGCTGCTTCTCCCCTGGTTCTCTTACAACCGCCGGTAGCTCTCGTGGTTTCATTTCAAGCTGGCCGATCGCCATTCTGGTTTCACCCTCCTTGCAGCCGTGCTTGCCTCTCTACCATCGAAGGTCAACATAAGCTGAAACATGGAAGCTGATTGTCCTCTGTCCAAAAGGTCATTTGCGCTGGTAGCAAGTGCGACTCTATCTTGTCTTCCCCGGGCTGGTGGCAATACTTGTGCTACGGCTACATTATTTGCGCCAGCGATCTATAGCAGCTGCGATCCTGAGAGGGTGTCCCCTTTCAAACGCAGGTGTACCTCCTCATCTCCATCCTCCCCGGGCCTCACGATGCCTGTGCAAACCAGCTCACCGTCAGCCCCGGATTCGTTCCCTTCTTTTATGTCTGTGTTTGGGAGGTCGCCCGAGTTCCCCGACACGACGGACCGAACTTCACTCGTCAAACCACTTAGGGTTCCGACCAATGTCACAGTCAACACATCGCGACGCCCACTTCCCTTTCAACATCGCGAAAGTATATCATCGATGACATCAGGCTCCACTGATTCGTCTCCCACCACCACCATCTCCACCTTCGATCCTCCTTCGGCCGTGGATACCTCCCCGAGCTCCTCGCCCGAATCTCCGTCATCCATGCCGTTATCATATCCTACCTTTATGCCAGTTGCCCACAAGGCTGAGTGCCAAACGCACTCGGCGGCTCCGACCACCGACTTGAAACCGTCAACGGATAGCCAAAATGTCGCACGGCCCGACTCCCCCGGCAGGCGCGCACGCAACCTCAAGAATCTTTCTCTGAGAATGCCTCTGCCATCGCAAGGGTCCCGCCCGCCTATTGCAACGGCCTCTGTCGTAGAAACCACCTCCCAACACCATCTCTCCGCCCCGCCCTCCCCAATCCATGTACCACCGAAGGGCATGCGCCGCAAGCCCGCCAATCTTACAATCCGCACTCCTGGGTTTGATCGGTCCTTTTCAAGCAACGGTAACGATGTGCCGCCGACCCCGCACGCTTTGCGCCACACCGAGTCCTCCCCGTCCCTCACGTCTGTGTTTTCTCCATCATTCGGCCCGAAGGGTGGCATGCAACTGCCCCGACCGATGACCCATCATGGTGCCCGGCGACCGTCGGGTGCGTCAGAGAGCAACCTCTCCCCACTGCAAACGGTGCCCGACGAAGGATCGGGAGTGCTGCATGAATTGGAAGAGGAGGATGACCACCTCGACTCGAGAGAGTCGACGCGGCGCAACGAGCGAGGTTATCCGAATGGACCGATCCAAATCTATGACTCTGGCGTCTTCCTGTACCTGGAGCCGACCGCGCAAGAAGCTTCGCAATTCGATGTGGTCGTGAATGTGGCCAAGGAGGTGGCAAATCCGTTCACCGCGACTGCTGGTAGCACCGGCACGGTGGTCAGCACCTTGCGCAATGGGTCGGCAAGTACGAAGCGACTGTCGACTGGAGAACCGTGGACGGCCATGTCCGATGCATCCTTCAAGTCTGCCTTTGAGTTCCCCCAAAATGACGACTCTTCGCCTGCCACACCTCAGAAGGACTCGTCTGGACCGGAATATGTCCACGTCGGTTGGGACCACAACTCCGAGATTCTGGATGATCTTTTCCCGCTTTGCGAGTTGATCGATTCTCGCATATCTGAAGGTAAAAAGGTACTCATCCACTGCCAGCTGGGTGCTAGTCGATCGGCATCGTTGGTCATCGCCTATGGTCTCTACAAAAACCGACAGTTGGATTTTAACTCGGTCTACGAGCTTGTTAAAGAACGTAGTCGCTGGGTCAGCCCCAACATGAGTCTGATCTATCAGCTGACGGACTTTCGTTCTCGGCTACTCCGCGGCAAGCTTTCGAAAGCGGCCCCGGAGGAGTGGTTTGTCGGCGGGGCGCGCAGGTGCTCCGAGCCTCAGCCACCCCAAACAGCCAGGACAGATGTTTCGGAAGCCAGCACGCCGGGCTTTCTCAGTGGCAGCTCGGATGCGGAGCCAGCTTCGTCGAACGGCCTTTCGCAGTCGTCGATGAGCTCTATATCGGTGTCCTCTAACCAGACGACGCCTCTTTCGATAGAGAATCTGGGCTTCTCACAGTCGCTCTCACACAAGCGCAGCTTGTCTCCTCGGCCACTGCCCTTCCGGCAGGCTACTTATCACCTGGGGCCGACGGGCAAAACTCTACAACCCGAATATACTGCGCCTTCGTGGCGTCCCGAAGGCGGGCCATGTTCTCTGGCTAAGACGGACGTCTTCGTGCAAGACATGCCAGATGGAATGAACTCGCTTTTCTCGCCGAGAACCACTGGATTTCTGGCCCCGCCTCTTTCGCGTTCTATTGCCGACTGCCTCGAGGACGACGGTCCCCACGGGCTGCGGTTCGGGTCGCGAGTTGCAGACCCTCGATCACCGCCTCCAGGCAATGAGCGCCTGATCATGAGGAATATTGATGAGTTTCTGTAATTCTGCCATAATGTCCAAGACAGATTGTCTTGAGGACGGGCTTCCGGGAGCTACGTCCAAGAAATGATTCCATGACCATATACACCTGAGGTTTACTCGTGTTGACCTTGTCCCATCTCTACAGCTTTCATTATGATCTACTGATCTACCGTCATTCTCTCTTTCAGCTGTGGTGGCATTTTTCTCTTTCTATTCGCTTCTACCATTTCCCTTTTTTTTTCTCCTGATTTGATGACTTGATGACCAAAGCGGGCTTACGGTCGTTATTCTTTCGTTCATACATCTGCCACTGTGCAATTTCATTCCCTTGGTCAACCAGCGGCCCATGTTGCATTCAAGGCCGTGCGTCGACATTGCATGCTTTCGGTCAACCGGCGTCCTGGGTGTTAAAAAGATGATAAAAGGCGGCGAAGAGTTGCCTGGTAACTTGTAATATTATTACTGTTCGTTTGTGATGCACCCTGTGTATTCGTCCACTCATTCTGTGTTGTCGATATTGGCATTTCAGCTGCGAAATACCCTGGGGCTAGTGATTGAATCAAGTTAACAAGAACACATACCAGTAGCAGTAGCAATGTATGTAGTGTAGTTTGTAGTTCGTATGGAGTTTACTTTGTAGTAGCGGGTTTAAAGCGGGCCGAGTGCCGAGCGGCTGGCATTGAACCTACTGAAACGTCATGCGGGTTAGACTTGTGAATTTTCGACACAGCCAATCTGCCACTGATCAGAACACAAGGACAACAGTCTGACAGTATGGCCGACGACAGCCATCCGGCGCATCTCTCGCCCAGCGAACTAGGCACAAAAGACTAGTAAGTAGCAGCCAACATCAGCATCCATCCGGAGTACATATGAAAACCAACGAAGTTTTCATCCACTCTACCCCGCTACCCCTCATACACCATACCCAAATTCCCTATATCGACCACCATACCCCCAAACCAACATTTGAACCCCCTACTAACACACTCTTTCAATCAATATAGCTGGGAAACCTTCTACGCACGCACCCTCTCCCACCTCTCCACAAAACATACCACCACCACCACCACCACCACAAAACCCACCCCCAACACCAACACAGACTCCTCCTCCGAAGATGAAGATGAAGAAGATGACATAGACGACGACTCCGACCCTGGCACATCCTGGTTCTCGGAACACAATGCGCCCGATAAAGTCCTGCAGTTCCTGACGGATGAGGAATTTCCGCTTGCGCCGGTGAACACTAACACCAACGATAATAACCAAAATGGTGATGAGCAAGCTCCATCTATCCTCGACCTCGGCACCGGCAACGGGAGCATGCTCGCCCTACTGAGAAAGCGAGGCGGGTATAAGGGTGTTATGGTAGGGATTGATTACTCCATTAGGAGTGTGCAGTTGGCGAGGGAGTTGCAGAGGTTGAGGATTCATTCGGCTTATTTGTCTGATTCGGATGAAGAGTCTGATGAGGATGAGGGGGATGAGGGGGTAAAAGAGGGGAATGGGGAAGGAGGCGATACGAATATTCGGTTCGAGGAGTGGGATATTTTGCATGGGGATGTGTATCAGACTAGTACTTCTGAAGAAGAAGAAGGTGATGGGAAGGGAGTGAAGGGAGGAAAGGTGGATTGGTTCCCGTATGATAAGGGCGGGTTTGATATTGTGCTTGATAAGGGGACGTTTGATGCGGTTTCGTTGTCGGATGAGGTTATTCCTGATGCTGATGGTGCTGCTGCTGGGGAAGGGCATGCGTCGGGAAAGACGGTTCAGAGGAGGGTTTGTGAGAGATATCCCGGGATTGTGAGGGGGTTGGTGAGGAAGGGTGGGTTTGTGGTTGTTACGAGTTGTAATTGGACCGAGGAGGAGTTGGTTGCTTGGTTTACTAGGGGTGGTTCCGGTACTGGTGATGGTGGTGATGGGGAGGAGGATAAGTTTGTGGTTTGGGGACGGGTTGAGTATCCGAGGTTTAGGTTTGGGGGGAGAGAAGGACAGGGTGTTTGTACGGTGTGTTTTCAGAGGGTATGATTCTAGAAGAAGAATAGATTTGGTATAGAGTTATATAGTAGGTATAGAAGGTATATGTGAATGTCTATGTCTTGGCTCTCGCTGTTGTATCTATGCTGTGTCGTTGTCGTTATTCATGGCGCATCCATCTCATCCATCCACCCTCTTACATATCGTCTTTCTTTTTCAAAAGCGCAACCACACACCACCGTCTCCTGTTCTCCGGTCCCTCTCCCTCCCTCTGCGCCACCCACTCGCGACGCACCTCGCGTCCATCTTCCTGGCCCGCAATCAAATCCCGCTCGTAGATCCGCTCAATCTCCAATCCCGTCTGCACTGCCGTCTCGAAAAAGCCTGCGACAATCGCCCGTCCAGTATGAAATCCAGCCACGACCCAGACGCGCCCGCCAGGGGCAAGGAACCAGCACATCGTGCGCGCGAGGTTCTCGTGCTGCGAGCGCATCCAGTAGCAGTCTGCCGCGACGATGCGGTTGAAGCTGGCCTTGTTCTGCACGGCCCAGGGATCGGTCTCTAGGGTACCCCATTCGTGGGGTTGGATTGTCACGGTTGTGGAGGTTGATGACACCTTGGGGGAGCGTAGGTTGTGGTCCAGGTTGAATTTGATGGCGCCTGATAAGGCGGGGGAGGAGGGGTGGTCGGTTGCTGTCACGGTGGAGGCCTGGGCGAGCGCGCAGACAACGGATGGTAGTGCGGCGCCTGAAAGGATGTTAGCATTTGTGTTTGGTGATAATCTACGAGCATTAGTGGATAGGATAAGAGGAGTACTGACCAGCGCCTAATTCCAACACCCTCTCCCCCCTCACCCTCCACATGGTAAGCTCATCCGTACTCTTCAATTGCCCACTAGCTTCCAGCTCATCTGCCTTCTCTACCGCCTCGGCAACAACCATGGCCGCGCTCCAGAGGAAATGTGCAAACAGCTTCCGGCCCTCTTCGATATGGTTGACCTGGCCGTCGGGGCGGGGTAGCCCCTCCGCTACCTCCTGGGAGCGCTTGCCGGTCTGGGTTGGGTACGAGGGCACCATGATTTCGAGATCGCCATAGCGGGGAGACGAGTAAAGGAGATGCTGGCCTGGATCGCCGTGAAAAGAGGGTGCATCATCTGGGAATAGGTGTGGGAGAAATGCGGCGAAAAGGTCTTCGGAAGATTCCTCCGGGTCGGCCTCAGTATCGGGGTCGTCAAACTCGGGGCGAGGGGCAGAGTCCTCGGAGTTGGGGAGGGGATGTCGACGAGGAAGAGGACGAAGGCGCGAGTGAAGCATTTCTGCCTGGGTCTTATTATAGAGACTTCTCTCAATAATTTTCTCGGAGGGGCGCGTGAGGGGGAAAAGAGGAGTTTGAAGTGGTTCTACTATAGAAACACGGTGGGAAATTGATTGGTGTACCCACTGCCGCTGCGGCCAATCGGAGACAACAGTGCCTGAAGTATAGGGCCGTCCCTTTTTTGGGGCGTGAAAGAGAGTTGACTATCCATGGTTATTTGGGGGTGATGTGCAAGGTGGAGTGCTACGATGCGGGTTTCTGAATATTCTAGAGGCGCAATGAAGATTAGCTTCTCGCTGTCCGGAGAATTACTGAGCCTTATTATTCTAGTTCAGTCGAGCAGATCTAGATGGTAGAAGTTGGTTAGCTAAGTAGTACTTTGTAGCGACAATAGTTAGCAGTGCATTGCTGAATACCAACGAGAGGGGCTGCACTATGTGGCCGACTATAAGACATTCCATTACCATTTCATATTATGAGTGAGGGTGGAAGGCATCTGATGCATTGCAGCAACGGTCGCATTGCACCCACTGCACTCTGAGCAAGTGACTCTCCTCCGTTGGATCGAATCACCGAAAATCCTCAGGCCCGATCGACAAGCCGATCCTGACTTGATGCTTACCTTACTTTACTAGTCAATCTCTTTTCATGTACCTGACCAACGCTCGTGGTAACTTTGCTGCAGAAAGTGTCGCGTATCACAGGTCAATGGATCGGTCGGATGCTACTCCGGACTACGCTGATGCTCCGAGCGAGTCAACCCACGTTCGGCTAGAACTCCTCGTACCACCTGCGAAGTTAGTACGAGTATCATACCATACCTTTTGAGGTGCTTCTATAAGACCTCTCGTTAACGTGGTCGTCTGCTATAAAGATACCCGATTGTGTCTCAGGTTCCCCGCTCGGTTGAGGGCCAACGGTGATGAAACAGCTTCCAAATCCTTCTCCAATTACTCCTCCATCTGTAATTGAATATGATCTTTGGTTGTTGACCTGTCGACGCGACGTGTTTGTTCATGGCCACATTGTTAACAACGAGGCACAGATCACCCTCTATTGGTGGCATTGTCCCCATCCGAAACGCTGGCAGTCCGTGTCGGCCTTCCATGTCGGCAATGCACTTTGAGGATAAAGTTAATGCGAAATCGGAGCTGTTCGTTGGGTATATGCTGTGGAAGAGCCAAGTCAGCACCGATTGATCAGCTCATGCATCATCTATTGACATGGCCCGTCTGATAGAGCAATAACACAGATGTTGACGCGTTGTTAATGACCAGAGGCACCTCAAAAAAGTTGCGATGGAAGAATAAAGGCCCTTTTCATTGCCTGAGACCATCCAGAGCCGTGTTTGTCGAACAGAAGGCGGCCAATCGTACTGCAACGGACAAAGGCGTAAGTTATTCTCAAAGGCATCACGGTAGTTTTAGAGAGTTGCTTTGTAAGTGCAGCGCACCACATCCCGATCGCTAGTCAGACAGTTAGTCGTTAACTAACTAGTTGAATATTGACTAGATAGTTGTCCTCTGATAACCCCCCTCGACGCGCCAGGCACATTCCTATTTGTAACAATGGGCGGCAATCGCTATCAACTGATTTGGGCCTCCTGGCGGCGCTAGACCCGAGCAGGCAACTTGGCTGGGCTGCCATGGAGGGGGTCTCAAGATAAGGCCGTGACCCCGTCATATTACATTACCGGTACTCCAAACCGGGTGGCAGTTCCCCGGCCC